TCCCTTTACCTGTGTGCATGGACTCCAGATTCACCATCCTGCAAGGGGAAGGGAATCCACAGCGTGCCCAGCTTCCTGCTGCCAGCCCCAGACCTGCCCGAGGGGCTGCCAGCTTGGCCTCCCACACTGCAGCACCACCTCGTCGGCAGGGCTCAGGTCAGCTCCAAGAGCAGGGGCAGCTGCATTGCCTCCGTCCCGCCAGGCCAGGTGAGCACGCTGGGGATGGAAGAGGCCACGCCCCCACGTTGGCAATGTCCTGATGCTGGGAGCCTGGCACATGGCCCATGCAAAACGGTGAGATTTGCATATTAGTAATTCTGGGAGGGTTGAGTCCCTGCAGCATTAAAAGGGGGTGGGGTGGGAGAGGGAGCAAGGCAGCCTCAGCGAGGCGCCCACACCCCACAGCACCTGCCTGCCTGCCCGCTGCCAAGCCCGCGAGAAGGGGCTCTGCCGAGACTTGGTGCACAGCAAGTCCTAGATCCTAATCGTCCCCTGTAGGAAATGCACTGGGCTCCCGCCTGCCGCAGCACAGATAAAGGAGGCTGAGACACCTGCCTGGGCAGGCCCCAGGGAAACCACTGAGCTCCAGAGCAGGGAGGGAGCTTGCAATCTGAGAGAGGGCCCAGAAAACACAGAGACCCCAGTGCTGGGTCTGCCCATGCTGCAGGAGAGTCCGCGTGGGCCTGCCTGCGCTGCTGCCCTCAGGGCCTGGGTGGTTACGTGGAAAGCCGTGCTGGACATGGGCTCTCAGCAAATGACACCACTTGTGCAACGGGGGCAAGCTGGGCACATGGAGGTGACATGACTTATGTTACAGGGGCAGGGTACAGGGTTTGTCCTTCCTCTCCTTGACTTCCAGTCGTGGCACTCACTGCTACGCATGCCAGCACGGAAAAGATCAGCCCCTGCTGTCAGCTCCTCATGGGAGACCCCCCCTCCTGCACCATCATCTCCCTCACGCTCACACCAGCTCTCCAAGCTGAGGCGCCAGGGACCTACAGTGTCCCTCTGTGCAGGGTTCAGGGCACACTCATTCCTATAGCCCTCTGTGATCTCCCGGTATACAGATTCCCCCACACCCACCCTTGCGCACCCATGCTGCCCAAGGGGGTCCGAGGCAAGGTGTCTGCATTGGATCATGCAGGACAGTAATAGAGACAAGTTTGTTCCCAGCCAACTGTGTGGGCTCTGACCTCCCCAGGTCTCCACGCTGCTGGGAATCTCCCCCGAAATTGTTTGAGTGTTAATGCCAGGTACAAGCTATCACACATCCGTCTCTGAACCCACGCTTTCCAGCACATGCCTTTTCCCAGAGGCTGCTCTTCCTTCCTGGAAAGGCAGGTTTTCCCCCAGGGCCGGGCGGGATCGCTCTGCCCAGTGTCAAAGGCACCCCAAAATCATGGGGTTGGGAAGCGGGGAGAGAGCAGGGACGAGTCCGGGGCAGGCAGGGAGCTCCTGTGGGAGCACAAGGAAGGAGGCAAAACCCAAGGGGAGAAATCAGGAGCAGAGCAGTGTGGAGAAGTGGGACATGGAGAAGTCACCAGGGTGGGGACTTCTCAGGAGAGATTTTCCAGGCTGCGGTGACATAAGGCTCAGACGTGGCCTTGTTTTCAGGGGCTGCAATCTAAGATGTGTCTGCCCTATTGCTCTCTTGGTGGGTGCAGTGATCACTCTGGCCGGACTGGGGGCCTCTACAAGTGTGGGGGGCTGCAGCTCCAGCTGGGTGCCATAAGGGATGCTTAACCCCGAGGGGTGGGTGCTGACACAGACACACCAACTGGGGGCTTTTTCATATGCATGCAATCCCCAGCAGCATGCAATGCACCTGATTCCCTCACCTGAGGCACGTGAGCCCCTTCACTGCTAGCAGACCAGCCGCCTGGGTGACAGACATCTGCCTTCACCGCTTTCCCTAGCTCAGAGCTGCAGCTGCCACACCACCTCCCTCCTCTCCGTGGGCCCGATAGGCTGGTACACAATGCCACCTCGTGGACTGCTCACTCTGCAAAGGCTGGAAGGACTGGGGAATTCACCAAGGACTGGGGAGTTTAATCATGGAGCTGAAGTGCAGATTGGGAGCCCAGGGGAGAAACGAGCATTTGGCAAGAGAGACCAAATCGATCTGTATTGACGACAATTTTTGTTCAGCTGAACTTTAAAAGATGGTTAAGGTTCACCCTTTACAAAACCTCTCCTGGCCCCGATCACAGGGATGAAACGATTCCCTGCAGTCGCGTGGGCTCCTGGAAGACTGCATGCAGGCATGAGGGGTTGGCTGCACGGACCCAGCTGCAAAGACCAGGCCCCTTGTTATTAACTGCTCTAAATACAATTGCCCCAGTAGAGGAAAAATGCATCCCCTACAATATTTAGTTAGCTGCAGCTATGGAAATAAATGGTATGCCTAAAATAAGGCTCATCTGAGATGCTCAGGGCCTGGGGTGCCCTACTGCAGCCCTCTTCAAATGAGATTCCCTGCTTAATCCAGCTGTAGAGTTTGCTCATTATCATTTCTACAGCATCCACGGCAACTCAGAAAAGTTGCAATACAATTTTCTGGCCGTTCTCTGCCTGCAGGTTTACGGCCATAGCTCTGCTGTCGAATTCAGTAGGGGGAATTAAAAACAAAGCAAAGTAAAGTCAGGTTCCTTGATTGTAACTGTGCCTCCTGCTTTAGGGTATGTGGATCTATACATGCAGGATACATGAATAGACCAGTGTTAACTCAAACGGATGATCAGGCTCACACCTATTTGGCGTTCTTGCTCTCAGTAAATGCAACAGGCAACAATTTCCCAAGAAGGCAAGTGAGGTTGGGTACCCCAGCTTCAGTGGCCCAAGCTGGAAGTGAGGAAGTTAAGAGCCCCTGTAGTGCCCATTGATTTCCATGTAACTGTGGTGCGCAGCACCTTCTGCTTCAAAGTGTCACAGCAGGGAAGAGGAGCCACTTTTCAGTACCCCGGGCTGAAAGGGTCCTGCTGAGTCAGCGAGTCCAATCTCCCAACCATCTGTTCAAAAGAGCTGGCAAGAACATCCCCAAAGCACCTCGTAACAACCAAACCAAAACCACGGTGCCAGGAGGACAGCAAGGTCACCCTGACCTCCTCCAGGCTCTGCTTCTGACTTTCCAGTAGCTTCTTGATTTTCGCTAATGCAACTTGGTTTGGACACTAGTTTACAGCCTCATTGTAACACGTGCATTAGTTTATCATCCTCCTGTGGCCCTAATAAAAGCTTTCTTCCAAAAAATAAAAATAAAAAAAAAATGCTTGTAAATGTTAAGACCATGTACCTTCAGGGAAAGTCTTTTCTGTATTAACATACAACTATCTTTCCACCCTGAGACAGATTAGCTTTCACACTGTCCTGGAGACAGTCAGCTCTCCATTTACTGAAGATACCACTGCCAGAAATCAGCAGCTCTTTTACAGTGACATCAATGAATGACCCATCCATACTCATCATTGTGTACTCTCCATCTGCCAACATCCATTCCTCCTTTGGAGAACAATAAACCTTGGGGGATAAAGCTTGATTTACAGACAGCCGCCTTCCAGATAGGACCTCAACGCGCAAGCTGCAACATCAGCTCGGCACAGACAATAAAGATCGACTAATGCTTTTCTCTATTTATACCATTGCTTGCAGCCAAAACTTCCTTCCCCCACTTGCTGGGTGCCAATTTGTGTCCCCCGCTGCACCTGCAAATAGTTGCCTTTCAATAGGATTGTCGGCACAGGTGGGTTTTACAGGGCTTTGGCAAGAAATGTTGTGATAAATGAGCTTTATTCGTCTGTTGGACACAACCTTGGGTTTGTTTTTTGTTGGGTTTTTTTGCAAGGGGGGAGTGCAGGGGAATAATGAGAGATCCTGCAAAGTGGTGGATGACTTGGGAAGTTAAAACCTGCAGTGCGTGGGGGTTGGCTACACATTGCATACGCTGAAATGTCTCTATTGGGAAAATTGCTGTTGCAACCTTGCTACCCACCTAAGGAGAGTCCAGGGCACAGATGTCTGCCTGCTCTTCCAAGTGCAGAGCAACGAGTGCGGTGGAAACACAACCCAGCTATGCCCTCTCGTGGAACATGGCAGAACCACACGCAGCAGAGATCTCGTCTCGGACAGACTAGGACAGCGCCACGGTCCCCTTGAGATCTGTGAGGATGCTGTGGGGTGCCAAGCATCCTAAAGGGGTTTGTTAGCACTGCTAGGTGTGCCAACGTGATTCCCAGGGATTTCTAATAGGAACCAATTGTGTTAAACACATCTGATCTGCTGTGGTCTGAGTTCTTTGCAACGGATAAGTGCTCTATTATGTTTCTGTCATCAAAAAAAAAAAGGTGAAAACTCCGAGCTGATGTTTTCCAAGGGGTGACTTGAGTCTAACAAGGGGTGCCGTGCAAGGTTGAGAACGCTAGGAAGCCAGCCACCCAGCTGGACAAGTGCCATTCCCAGGCCCAGAGCCAGGAGACTTACCCGTTTGATCTCTGGAACAACACCGGAGACTGGAAATGCTGACCGTCTTTGGATGCATCTTGAAAGCCATGTGTGGGTCCAGGGGAATTTCCCTGGTTCATAAAAGGTATGTTGCAAATCCAGGAAAGCCCACTGATTTCCTGCCAGAATATGCTGCAAGAAAGCAGGCTTGGAAAGCAAAGTGGACACCTCAGCACAGGTGGTGGCAATGTCATCTACTGCTTCAGAGCAATCCCAGAGCCCAAGCCACTGCAGCCCCCTGGGGTGGTAGTGAAGGAGGATGTCTGTGCTTGGGGCAGGATGTTGGGATCTTGCCAAGTCTCTTGGGATGGGCTGAGCTTACCTTTCTGTGCCTGGTGGTTTCTCAGTCTCCCTCTCTTTCCCAGTGGCCCTGGATTTTTCCCAGCTGTGCACCATCCATCGGCCTGGAGAGGGCTGAGAGCATGGGGCCTCTAATCATGGGGGAGAGCAGCCAGATGGGTAGACGAGCTAGGCAGGTGGAAGGATGGCAGCAGAGAGATGCCTTGATGGGGACCGTGCACTTACATGAGAGGTATGCTAGGAGTCCTGGAAATATAGCCACCCTGCTGCAGAGCAAGTAGTTATGTCCTCATAGGCCATAACTGCAGTACTGCCCTGGTTGGGGGAAGGGTATAACCCTAAAAAGAGACATCCCAGGAACCCCACACAGGGAAAATAACTTCAGAGACTGCTGAGTTCATTGCCATGTGGTTAAAATGCCCTCTATGACCCCACATATTTTAACAGCAGAGCTGTGTTAGACAGTGCATTCGAGTCACTGGTGCCCTGCTCCAGCAGCACTGACCCCACAAATAAGACCAGGCTACAATCCCATCCCGGACGTGACCCTGGATTGCAACCAGGATAAAAACCTCACGAGAGCAAAAGGAACCAGCAAAAGAATAGGGCTGTGAGTTTTATGGAGACACTTGATGCTAGATCTGCTTTAAAAAAAAATCCATTTATTTACCTTAAAAATGATAAATACTTTGCTTTTAAAAAATCTTTCAAGTTTAGTCGTGGTTTTACTTCATGTCGCCATATTAAAATGTAGCCTCTCCCCGCCCTTCCCCCAATGAGATCCCTACAAAAATAGTTCTGTCAGCAAATTAAAAGAAGAAAAACCTGGAAATTATCTTTTTTTTTTTTTGTCCAAAATGCTCAAGTTTGGGCAGAAGGCACAAGAAAGAGGGTATGGAGCCAGAGGGGCTGGGGTTACAAATCGCAGCTGCTCTGGACCCTGTGGGTCTATGAAGACTGCGGTAGCCCTAACCCCACTCTCCCCCCTTCAGCTCCAACCCCTAAGACAGAGGAATGCAGTAATGACAGCCGTCAATCATAGCTTATCTTTGGAGGCCCTCCTAGTGCTTTACAAAGGAAAGCCGTCATCGTTGCCCCCATTTTACAGATGGGGAAACTGAGGCACAGTGAAGTGGTGGGATTTAGCTATGCTCACCTAGCAGGTTAGCAGCAGGGCTGGAAATAAAACCCAGGAGTACTGCATGGCAGTCCCCTGCCCTCAGCAGATCTCCGAAGCTCTGGTGCAGACCCAGTGGGGGATTGTCAACCACAGCCCCGGAGGCAGTGGATAGAAATGTGTGGACAGCTCTTTCTTAACAGGAGAGTCCCTGGGACTGCAGCCTCAACCCCAGCTTGGCTGGGTCTTAAGAACAAGCCAAACCAGAGACTCATTAAAGCTCCCTTTCTTCAAGGGGCCGGGAGGCCTCCTGGTACCTAAGCTTTCCATCTCCACCAGCCAGGGAAGAAGCTGGCAAGTGGTCGGGTGCTGTGACAGCACAGCACGCCGCCCGCTTTGGGGCCCTTGCACCTTCCTCACTTGGGGGGTTTCCCACCAAGTCCGTGGCCCCACCAGTGGCAAGTGCTGCCGTGGTGGGGCTGGGAGCCTGTGGGAAAGGGACCGGGGACAGGTCCGGAGCTGCCCTGTCCTCCGCTCACATTTTGGCTGCTGAAGTGACAGCTGAGATGGCTTCCCTTCCCCTTGAAGAGGCTCTGGGCTGGCACCGGTAAGCACAGCCATTCCCCTTCATAGTTTCATAGTTGTTAGGGGCTGGAAGGGACCTTACAGATCATCGGGTCCAGCCCCCCTGCACTTGGCCAGGAAAGACTCACCCCCAAACTGTCCCTGGTGAGCAATGCACTTGGCTCTGGGCAGCGCTGTGCTAAGATGCAGAAGCTAAGCCTGTTTTCACAGTATGAGGCAGCCTGAGGGGGTCCCAGGGAATGGGAAGAAAAGAAGCACACAGAGCCTCCATGGTCCAAGCACCTCTGCGAGCCCTCTCCCCCTCCGGGCAGTCAGCCCTGGCACACGGCCCGGAGTCATGGAGCGAGGGCGGGAGGCTGAAAAGACGCATCCCAGATAAGCTTTGCTAGGTCTCTTCATCCCAGAGGCACAGCTGCTTCTGCGGCACGTAATAGTCAAAGGTGTAGCCCTTCTGGCAGCTGCGAATGCCGCACTTGTAGGAGGAGACTTTGCCACTGGCGTCCCGGCTCCGGCAATACTTGAGCATGCAGGGGTACCACTCGATGCTCAGCGAGTAGCTGCAGATGCAGGGCTTCCAGCGGTCCGAGCACAGCTTGCAGCGCTGCAGGTCGGGCAGGTCGGCCGACTGGGGCAGGACCTCGAACATGGAGCCGTCCACCCCTGCGGGAGGAGAGAGGCAGAACAGTGCTTCAGACGGTAACATCGAGGGACAAGCTTCGTCTTGGGGACCTCTAGCATCATCCCAGTAGAGGCCGGGACTCCACATTTGGTGGAAAAACAGAGGGTGCCTACATGCCATGCACTCTGGTGGCTGCTGTCTTCTGCTGGGGGGTGACACAGGTAAGTATAGACAAGGCTCAAGTGACTCGGGGACAAGCTACCAGCCTTCTCCTCCCTCAATTACTGGTTCAGGTTCAGCCTGGGTGAGAAGTGGCTGACAGCTATGTGTGCCAGTCTGTCCCCCTGTGGAACAAATTGCAGGGCTCTGCCTGGTTCATGCTGGATACGCGTCTCCTATTGCAACAGCCGCCACTTTCGCTGGCTCCACATGTCAGAACTGAAGTAGCCACTCAATGCCAGGCAATGGGCACAAGCTTAAGTGCGGCTGGGAGGGAGACTGGCACCTGAGGCAGGTGTCTCCATACACATGGGGTATCTAAACAGCATGTGAGGCTGATGCTTTGTGACCCAGCTTATTCCCTAAGAGCCCCAGAGGGACAGTCCATCAGGCCTTGCAGACCTACTGGCAGTATCAGAGCTGCCCATGCAGGAGGGGAGAGTCTCACCTTTCTCCAGCCAAAACTTAACATCTTCTTCCCGGGTGTAAATAGCCTCCTGGGCCTCAGAGCAGACGTTGTGGATGTGAGGGCTCAGCTGGGCCCCTTTGCTGAAGTTGACAGCCACGTCCATGCTCAGGTGCTCCAGCCCACGGACCTCCTCTGCTTGCCGCACCGTTTTGGGGTTTTTCTGGGAGGAGAAAGGCACTGAGTGAATTCCCGCAGCAGTGGCAAAGCTTCTTAGTTGGTGAGGAAGAATGAGGTCTATCTGCTCCATCCTTTCCCCAGACTAGCCCTAAGGGACATCGCTGTGGCACACCACCAGAAGGTGTGCATCTAGACTGCCTTCGCATGGGATCCCATGCGGTCTCCTAAGCTGAGCAGGACAGACCCTGCACCGTGCTGGCAAGGCAACTTCTGTGCAACGCCCAGCTGCTGCTGAAGTGGTGGAGATTCAGGATGGGCCTGTGGATGGCTGGAGTCCAAGCCTCAGCGAGTGTGGCAGTGCTGCCAGCCTGGAGCCGAGGCAGATAACAGGCAGGTCTGGTTCACCGGTGGTGTTCACCACTGCCGCCCACCTCCCCACAAAATAGATCTGGGCAGCGCTGGACTGGACTAGACTGTGCAGCAGGAAGTGGTGGTCACAGCTGGGTCAGGCTGAGGCTGAGAAACTCAGCCAGATGCCTGAAAGGGGCTGGAGAGCCCTTTGCTCCAGACGGCCAGGAGATCAGTGGGCAGCAGTGGTGGGCTCAAGCACAAAGCTGTCTCATGGGGCTGCCCCTCACCTGCCGCAGCTTGGCCATGGACTCGCTGGGGATGATCTCGTTGCGGTGGAGCCTCGTGACAAAGCAGAGGGCCTGGAACTGGCTCTGGCCCCTCTCCAGCTCCCCCAGGATCAGGGCACGGAAAATCTTCACCTCCTGACCAAAAACAAAACACAAGGAGAGCACAGGTTAACGCGGTCCCGCAGCCTATGGCCTTCGACCTCAGAGGGGCAGTGTGGAGAAATGCACACCCACCCGTCCCCCATAACATCTACCACCCCTGACCCCCCATAACATCTACCCCGACCCACTCTGTCCTGTGTCACCCCATCTCAAAGGGGCTCAGGGAGGCTGACACCTAACCCTGCTCCAGCCTGAGGAACACCAGTGGATCCTTCTGCTCAAGCAACAAAACCTCCTGCCTTCAGGACCAGGAGCCAGAGGCTTGATTCTTATTACCAAAGGACCTAAAACCAGGCACGGGCAACATGGAGAAACAACCTGTATGAAACCTTAAGCCCAGGTTGTGGAAAACCTCCATCCCACAACACAGGGGACAGACAGAGTGCTGCTCAGGGGTGGTGACACATGCCCCAATTGTGCCTTGCTGGTTTTGGTTTTTGGCCAAGGATAAACCCTGACTCCAGAGGGTTTCTTGTTTCTGCCTCCAGGAAGGGGTGATTTTTTATAAAACAATGACCCTACATTTTTTCCCCCACAGTAGGGAGCCACCTCAAGATTTCCTATGTTGGATGGACCCACGTGCTTTCGCCCCTGACATGGCATAAGCTCTCCCTGCAATCCCATCTCTCTTCAAGGGGGTCACCCCTTGCACCCAGTGCCCAAACCACTTTGGAGAGCAATGCCAGGGCTTGACTCTTGAAGGGAAAAAGGGTCAGGAGCTGCTTACAGGTGCTTCTCCTTCCAGCATGCACAGATAACTTCAGATCGCCAACTCCTCTGGCTCCTTCCAACACAATGAGTTGTTAACAGCGTTATCTTTGGGTCTAACGCTTCCTGTTATTGTAACACAGCCCATCCTATGCCAGGAAACCCTGAAGTGTGACCGGAAGGACACATGCGTGTATGTGAAAGATGGAATGATTAAAAGAAAACAGACTCCGTCCGAAAATGAAGCACGAAGTTACCCAGCACTTGTAGCACCAGGGTGGGATGCCTCCATTCCTGCCCTCGACTGCCCACGCTGCACCCATCATCCCATAGAGTGCACCCTACTGAGCCTACAATAGGATGCCTCATTGCTCATCTATCACTGCCAGGCTTGGGCACCCTCCCACTCCACTGCCCACACGTGATGCATCCTCCATCTGTGTTGCATGTCGCAGGACACCCCACCCCACTTCTCCATCCCTAGTTAGATCGGGATGTGTCCACTCAAGAATGGAGCACAGGGACTAGGCTGAAGCATTCAGTGCTGACAGCAACAGCAAGGTCCTCAGGGGAAACAGGACAAATCTAGAGAGCAGTGAGTGTGTCGGGTAAGGACAGGGTGGGAGGGGGAAAGAGGTCTGAGTCAGTGGAAAATGGAAAAGAGACCAACCGGACACAAGTGCAGGGGAAGTGATATTGCGATGGTACAAATGGTTCACAGGGAAGAGTCCAGCTCCCGGTCATACTTGGAGGAGGGTAAAAGAGGAACATGAGTCACAGGGACATGCTTCATTTACAGACACCGCGGCCCTGCCGTTCCAGAGCTACTCATTCATCACAGCAGACCCCAATCTCAGACGGGCCATTTCAGATGATTGTTTTTTTTCCACGAATGGAGCAAAGCAATAGGGAGGAGACAGCTTTGTTGGCATGTGCTGAGAAGAAGTCCCGCATTGCTCCTGTGACACAAACCACCTCCAAGCAGAGGGTGTAGGATTCTTGCAGGGTCACCGAGACAAAACCAAGCCCTGCTGGCCGCACTGCACTTCCAGACCTATCACGTTAGTGTCGCTGTAAAAAGTCGGGAACTCAAAGCCTCTAGTAACACCTTGAGCAACAGGATTACAGTAGGCAAATCAAACAAAGTTAGCTATACAGGGGCCATGAATCACAGTGCCTGAATAAATCACCCCTGAGCAGAACTAGGCATAGAAAACAAAAGCATGTGACCCTCTCCTAGGCAGAGAACACCTGCTGAAAAGAGTATTTGCTGCTTGGCTGTGGTTTTAACCCTGTGCATATTGCTTTGCGATCTCCAAGACCTCCACACCCCAGCTGGTGCATCTCGACACTTCCCACAGGTTTGCCATCCTGCCCGAGTTAGGGCCGCAATTCCCCCGTGCCCAGGGACTGGCCCGCTTCCCCCAGCAAATCACAACATCTTCATTTAGCAACCGTGGTGACACTAAAGGAACGGCCAAATTCTGCTCTCGTGGACTATGCTGCATAGCCGGAAGAAAACGCTCAAAGTTAGCTCGGTGTGCTCACCGCAGACGTATCTCAGTTTAACAGAGGCCACGAGATTAAAATTTGCCCCCAAGATTAAGATAGTAAAGCTTATGCCTTCCCAAATACAGTCATCATCTAATGATGTCTCTCCGTAGGGCTGAGATTCTCCCCCTATTGCTGGAAATCTGCACTGACGTTGCCCTTGGTGTTGACAGTAAACCCAAGGAAGGAGAAAGACTGAGTAGGCCGGGGACACAACACACCCACTATCCACCTTTTGCTCACTCTGAGCAGATAGTAGGGCTTCAGACAATGATCTCTTTTCTCTGGAGCTTCCCCACAGAGTAGCTGCAACCAGGAGGAGATTCGGTCTGGGTTGCCCTAAGAACTTGAGACGCAACGAGTTTGCTTCCTGTGAAGATCTGCCATGGAGAAAACACTGAGTGGGACCCGCACAAGCCCAGTAAAGACTGGAAGATCCTCCTCACAAAGCCCAGGGATGTCAGCTCACATCCTTACTGCAGACGGGGATGTTTCAATGCGCCATGCTCTGTCAAGCTCAGCAAGACAGGTAAGAAACTTCCTCCACCCTTGCCATAACTGCATCCTCATTTCCACATGTCCCATGAACTCCCTACTGACACATCCATGTTCTGCTCAGTCCTGCGAGCAGACAGCCGTTCCTTCCAGGACTAGCTGATGGAAGGACAAACACATCTGAAACCATATCCTGCTCCTTCACGCTATGTGCAAGCTGAGAAGCACCTTTTTCCTCCAAGTTGCTATCTTTGCGTTGTAATCATAGCCCTACCCGGGGCAGCTGGTCACAGCTTCCAGCCATCGTTAACTAAAAATACCATGGGGCAGGATGACAGTGTAAATCTTCACCTCATCTGCAAGTTGCTAACGAACGGCAGCTCTTCTCTTCCCCTCCCCTGCAGCTCTCAGTCCGCAGCCAAAACTTTTCACAAGCATTGCAAAGCTCAGCTCTCCAGCTATCGTTCCAGGAAAGCTGCAATCTTGATTTTGTGAAGATGCTTTCCCTCTCGCTACTACTGGCAACACAATTTGGGCAGCAGCAGGCCAGCAACAAGTGGCTTATCTCTGCACTGGACGGACGGCAAAGCGGAGATGAAATGAATACGCTTTCAGGCTAAAAGGGACCCATGCTGATCACTGAGTGCTGGCAGCCAGCTATGAAGTCAAAGCCCAACTTGGGAAACTAGTTACTCCAGGGAGGATTCACAAGAAGAAAAAAAAAGCATTGTCCTGCAAACAAAAGAAAAAGCTCCCTGGGCCTACATTAAGCAGCAAAAGCTCTACTGACTTCATTGTCACCGTGCTGGCATGTGACAGGAGGATGTGGCTCTTGTGTTTCACATCCTCCCCATTTGAGGGGAATGACCAACTCCAGTAAGGAACTGGGGGTTGGGGTGTGTGGGGACCAAATAAACTCCTGAGAAGGAGGTGCAAGGGGATAAAAAGGTCTCCATTTTTAAGGAAAATCCAGGGTTTACAGTCCAAGGGACAGGACTAGTTCTCGGAGACAGAGGAACATTTCACGGCTGGACCGCCAGAGTAAATGCAGCTCAGGCTGCTAACGTACAGCCTGGAACGGCTTGGTGCCTCGTGCGAGATGCTTGCAACCCTGCTGCGAGCATTTGCAGAAAGCTTCCCATGCTCTGGACACTATCTGACACCTCCGCAGGGAGTGAACGTGGAAGAGGAGGTTATTCCAGGTCAAGACAGAGACACATTGGCAGGCCGGTGTGCAAGGAAAAGGGACAGAAATCTGACAGGGATGTTTTTTCTTTGCTGCATCTGTTCTGAGACTCTCTGCCCACATTCCCCCGGACGGTTCATTTGGCATCGTTCACAAGGGCTATGCTCACTTACCCCGTGACTCATGGTGTCACGGAGGGAGCATTTCCCCAGAAGAGGCATGAAATCCTGTTACTTCCTTTGGAGTCCACCCAAGAACACTGCGGTGAAAAGTGACCTCCGTGGGGGAGTGGGCAGAAGCCATAGCTCAGTGCGTTAGCCAGCAGGAGTCATGCCAAGCTATGGAGAAGACTTCCCTCCTTTTAGACTTCCCTTCTACGGCAGGCCTACGATCGGTCTCATGTGGTTTGGGAAGAGACCCTCCTTTCCATCTACAGCAAAACCCTGGCTTCCTTTTCCGCAAGGCTCTGAGCAGCGTCCTCTCGAGGAACATCATCTACGTTAGAGCATATATCCCTGCAGCTTACTCACCGCCCTCCCTCCCACGTGCAGAAAACAAAGGCAGTGGAATTTGGGGCACATCTGGAGAGAGCTGAAAGAACAGCTGCAGATTGGGATGCGATTCTTTCCCATGGCCAGAGCAGGGATTTTGCTGGATGCATCTTATTAAGTGAAAAATGAGCCAGAGGAGTAGGGAAGAAGGAGGACGTATCCTATTGCTTTCGCCTACAAACCCCGTCATTGTCTTCAGTCTACTGGCTTGATTAGCAACCCAGCAGGCCTGGGGGATAGGCAGGCCTGAAGCAGCTCAGAATTGCTTTACAGGCTCACCAGGAGCTAAAGGCTGCTGGGGGCTTTTGGTTCTTATACAGCGCCATTTGAAACCATGTTTTTCAAAATTAAAATCGACCCCTTAGCCGAGGGAGCAACGATCTTTCCTCCACGAGCCTGGAATGATGAGCGAGAGGGTCCGACTGAAACGGCTCAAGAACGGAGGGTGGAAACTGCAGAGAAGAAAAACATGGTCAATAATTTCAATTTGACTGGGTGGGGGGGCAGAGGTAGGAAGGAGAGGGAAGTAATGATATTTTCACAGGAATATTTAGGAAACCGACCATTTCTCATAGCTCTCCTAAAGAAGGTCTTGCTGAAATGTGGCACCATCGGAGCAGCCCAAACCTTCAACCGAGTCACATCGGTTTATGCCAGCTGGTTTCGATCCAAAGTCTTCGTTGCGCTTCCTGCGACGTTACAAGGCCGAGCAAGTATCAGACGGATCAAACTGCAGACCAGCCAGTTCCTCAGCTCCGCCAGGCTCGGTAGTTCCATACAAAACACTTCTTTTTAAATCACTTCAAATCCTCAGATCCTCAGCTTTTCAAAAAACACACAAACCAAAAAAAAGTGGGAATCCACATTTTTCACCAGACAGTCAGATCCAAAGGCTCTACTGTCTGCGTGGAAGGGATCAGGAAACATTCTCCATCTGGAAGCAAGTTTTGCAGCAATACGAAGATATCGAGGAAGAGCAGAAGTCGACATGCTCACACAGCCATCTCCTCCTAGCGGCTGGTTCCCACTGCTTCGGACTGACAGACGGGAGCATTGTGCTGAAGTGGCAGAAGCTCATAAGTCAGCACTGGTGATTAAAGCCCCGTGATTAGCCCTGCCGTGGCTGTTACGCAAGCATGCATGGACACCTCTGAGAGAGGGCACATGCTTCTCTGTGTTTAAGAGCTGCACTGCCATGTTCAGCGAGAAACGTACAATTTCACTGAACCCGCTGGAACGGGGAGCTGTAGGTTTCAAGTCAGTTTAGCCGTGACTCTCAGAAAGCAGGGTTGAGGGGATTGCATTTTAGCAGCCTGGATTAGCTACTAGACAGACTTAGTCCCCATGGCATCAAAGGGGGCAAATGCACCCCGGGACAGGGTCATGTGTGCATGGTATCAGCTTTTGCAGACTTTCCACCGAGCTGGCTGCAGCGCTAAGGTCAATGCCTCCTGGTTGGGAGTCCAGAGGCAGGGGCACCTGCTCTTCCAGATCCTGCCTCACCTCCTCCAGTGGGAACCATCCTCCGACACTCGCTCCCAGGCTCCTCTGAAGCTGCTCTTGCATTTCCCTGTGTGCACCTTACCTCTATTTCCTCTGCTCCAGGCTCATTCCCATCACACCAGAGCATCTGACCCGGTGCTGTGGCTGGGCCAATCTAAATATTTATCTACCCGGCTCCGTGCACTCAGTGATTTATGGGCTGAGGAGTCCACATGGCTGGAGCCCGCGGAGGTGGAAGGCCTCAGGGATGGATCCCCGCTAGGATCTTCATGAAAGGGGTCCTTAGATGGGAGACAGACACATGGGTGGAAGGGATGGGCCTGCAGAAGAGGGGTAAGGGGAAACTTTGCAGGAGGGGAAGAAGGGAGAAGAGGGGCTTCCCAGATAAACTGCATGGGTTGTTAAAACAGTGAAGTCGGAGCTTTATTTAAAACAAGCCATAGCTTCTCCGCCAGCCCCACTGGTCTCTTTGTTTCACAGAGCAAAGTCTATGCCCTGCATCTCCTCAGCACTGAACCCGAGGCATCAGGCTAATGTGCCGAGGACCCCTGCTCCTTGGCCAGGGATGCTGCAGGGGGGTGCTGGCCCGGTGTGAATTACCTTGAACCCTGGGCTTTATGCCCGCTGTTGTAAGGAACAGCATGACAGCAAGACTGCTCTGAGCAGTGATGGGCTCTTCCTTTCAGAAAGCCCTTACGCCTCTCTCCGCTGTCTACACAAGGTCACTGGGAGAACCAGATGCCACAGTTCGGCTGCCCGCAGCTTGCTGGTTCTGCAGCTCATTCCCAACGAATGCAACCACGACTCTGCTGTCCGGTTGCCTAAAGGAAATGAGCTCTGGAAGGCAAGCGGCTGGCTCAAGACGATGCTGGCAGGAAAGAGGAAGCGCTTGCAAGAGCTGGCCAAGATGCTGCCTCCACTCCCATTGCAAGTCCTATTCATCCAAGTGGTGGGGAGCCGCGGGATCCTGCCTGACTCCTCTCTCAGGGTGGATGGCCAAGTAGTGCCAGGCTCCAAAAATGCCACCTAGTTTGGAAACTTTGGTTTTTCCTCCAGAGGGAAGGACTTGGCCACAGAATCCAGGCTCCTGCTGCCTCCACATCGGGTTACTGGACCTCACCGTGCAAGAGGGAACAATGCGCAGACTCTAGCTGGTACGCAACGCGTCTGCCCACCTTCTCCAGGGTGAGCTCATCAGACTGACATCCAAGCTCCTCCACTGGTTTCCAGGCTGCTTCCACTGCCAGTTTGAGGATTTGCCCATCCTTTTCAACACAATAAACAGATCAAGATTTATGTACCTTAAGGCATGCCCGGTAGAAGTGCAAGCAATGGCGGCTTTCGACATGGCCAAGGTGCCCAAACTTGCCCAGAATCCCTCTTTTCTTCCCCAGCCCTTCCTAAACTTCTCTACCTCCCTGCTCTGCCCATCATATCATAAGGGGGAGGTGGGTATCCAAGCTCATCCCACCAAGAGTCAGTCGGTCCTGCCGGAAGCAGCAAGGTGAGTCAGTGCCGAGCAGGTTCTTGGCCAAACCAACGAAGGAGCTGGGATTTCTGTACCGCTTCCCGGCAGAGAACAAGCCCCAGCACGACCTCTGAGCCTCAGCAGCACGGGGACTTTGCATTAACCCTTCAAGAGGATGTTGGCAAACGGGGCCCTGACCCACATTCGTGCAGCGAGTACAGTTGCAGCTATTGTTCAGCTTTTGGCTTCACGTTGCCTGGCGGAGCTGAGGAACAGGCCGTTCTGCAGCACCTCTCTGACTGCCGAGGCAAAACCGCATCCTACCCTCCTCTCGTGGGAGAGGGATGAATTCAGGGCACCTGGCTCCCCTCAGGGCCAGGGGCTTGCATCTGCAGACCTAGGGGACTAGGAGCATAGAGGAACCGTCCTGGGAAAGAATTCAGCGTCCTCATGCCCCATGCCGGCCGTCTCCGTCTCCTGCTGGGCCTGTGTTTTAGGACAAGAGGACAATTCAGCCTCTGTTTTTAGGCCTTTCCCAGTTGGGAATCAAGATCATGTGTGGTCTCACTCTTACGTCCATGTTGAGTGGAATAAACCAGTTCCCAAGAAAATAAATCTTGGAGGGAAGCGCTAGTTCACTGCCAACTCCCACCTCCGCCCGCCTGCCAGGCGCCTTCCTTCAAGGACGTGGCTGCCGTCAAGGCCCTGAATTTTGTCCTTGGAGGCATGCAGTCAGCTCCCGCTCAGTGGTGGAGGTGGAAGGGGTGGGAGCTTGCACATGTGGAGGAGGAGGGTGGGATGTTCAATGGTTAGGGCATCCATGAGGGACGTGGCTCCTGTTTCCTGCTGTGCCAGGTGTCCTCTGGGATCCAGGGTACTTAGGGGTTGCCTAGATGCAGTTTTCTGTGAGAAACTTCTTAAGGGGGGGAACAAAGGGGGGCAAAGAGAGCTTCAGCAACTACAACAGGCCCAGCTGCCCAAGTGCAGCCAGCTGCTGCCTCTGAGCACGGGTCCTGCCAGCACCACGATGTCACTTAGGTGCGACCCTTTTCTCTCTGTCCTACTGAACTCTGCCAACAACTTCTCCCCATATGCTCCAAAACTTCAGGATCAAGACACTTAGATCACAGCAGCAATGAAGGCCAGATGATGCTACATGTGGGCATCCTTTACCTAACAAATTCCCTTCCACTGCAAGGCCCGAGGAACTGGTGATGTCCTGGGTTTCTCTTGCTCTCTTCCCTTGGTACAGTATAGACTGAAGCCTTGGGTTTTTCTGGACTAGAAACCCTACATTTTCTATATCACCAGGGGTATTTTGTGCCTGGTGGGGCCAGACAGGAAGTTCTTCTGGATCCTACTGGACTTAACTTCCATTATGCAGTTGTTACAGATTGCAGGAGATTGGACTTGCTGGTCCAGGTGGTCCCTTCCAGTTCTCTACGTATCCAAGATTGATGCAAAAAGCAGATTTGGGCTGGTGCCGTGCTAAAGTGATGTTTTCCGTCCATCACATCCTCCAACTGGAATGGAGTAACTGAGCTGTACAAAGCCCTCGCTTGTTATGGAAAGTTGGATTATTGCTTCAGAGCTCTTGGCATGGGTGAATAAATAAATAATGCCGAGCACTTACGCAGAGCTTTAGATTTTCAAATCGTTTTATGCACCATGAAGGCAGGCTCACCACGACACTCTTGCGAGGCACTGGAAACAAAGTTAGTGCTTCATGGAGGAGGACATTTTGGCAAGCCCCCATTTTCAAGTAACTTTTAGCGCTTGGTGCGAGACCCTTGGTGCCCACCCGTTTGAGGTGCCAGGCACCCAGAACTCCTAATAGCATTGATAAAAGCTGTAGACAGTCAACACCCCTAGAAAAAAATCAACCTTGTACTACCTCCCGCTAAGCCTTCAAGTGGCGGGTGGGGGCTACTTCTGCAACTGGAGTCCAAGTGACTTGCTCGTGGCTGTACAACGAGACAGTAGCAAAGCCAGGATTAGAAACTTGGGAGTCCTAGCTTGCAAATCCTGTGCTCAGCTCACCAGGTCAACACCAAGCATGGCATACCAAAGTACCCAAACAATCCTTGACCTTGGAAAGATCAGATCCATTAAAACCACCGCGTTCTTAAGTGGAATCGCTCTACAGGGGAACAGACAACTCAATAGTCTACTACAGTGCCCCCCTCAAAAACTTCAAATGCTTAGAAAATACACACTTCAATAATGCAAAATTAAATGTTGGCAAATGCAATATCAGAGGGAGCCCTGCAGAGAACTTGGTTCCGAATTTCCAGAGTTCCTGATTATCTCTACTAAATCACTTGATTTCCTCCTGTGGAGAGAGTTAAAAAGCCTTCTATTATCTCCCAGTAACTTGCAGGGATTTGGTTCTTCTGTCCTACCACACAGTCTTAGGGCACTGAGAGGAAGCCTTTGAAAAGCACACCCTGGGATGGCACTGCCCAGTTTCTTGGTTTGTGCTGCTGAAATCCCACCTGTGAAGAAGCCAACTGCAGAGATCTTTGTGCACAAATGTCCTGGGAGCATGCAAGACAAAAAATGGGGAAATCATTCAGAGAGGTTGCCAGTCACAGCCGAGGACACAGGCGATTATAGCTCAATGCTTCTAAGGGAAAATGAAGCAGGCAGGCACGCTAGGGATTAGAGCAGTTCTGTTTATTCCCCCTCTTCACATGCTTGCTGTTTGCAGTTGTAGGGGAGCAAGGGAGCAGCAGATGCCCGAGTCCTGGTGTCCAGCTGCCTAACTGCTCCATCTTTCACCTGGGCACGCGTGTCCACATGTCCAGGAAGAACACCAGACTCGCCAGACCAGATCTGACCCGAGCCATGAGCCCAGGATCTCACCCCCAACTATGGCCAGCGCCTTCTGAGGTAGGTGCAAGAACCTAGCAGCGGGCAGATGGGATAATGTACCTCCTGCATTACACCTCCGTCTGGCTGGAAATTGGCTTTTGACCCAACACACTTCAAAATGCCAGAGGCCTTAGCTACGTCCCTTCTGACACTCCCAAAGGGAGAAAGACCCTCCCTTCAATTCTGGCAGTCTGGGTTTCCATACACAATACATGCATCAGCTATTCCCCATTTATAGCATCCCTGGTGCTGAGGCCTCTATATTCAACCCCAGCATAAACAGCAGCAGCTCTTTTAGCAGCAATGCAACATGCTGAAGCTACTGGCACCACAAAGGTTAAGTATTCAGCCCTCTCTGCGCCCAGCCCCATACACAATTTTTCTCAGTAATTATAAGAAAAATAAATCACTTATGTCAACTTGGGTATTAACCACCCACCCCGCTTGCTGGCCAGAGGGTGGGAATGCAGTCCCTATTGCGAAGAGGCTGCCAAAGAGTTTAGATTCAACAATATGGAGTGAGGAGTGGTTTGGCTTTTTGTTGTTGTTGTTGGTAAAACAGCAAACAGCCGTTTGATAAAACCGAAGAGAAACGTAATCCCAATGTTACTTTCCAACACAACAAAAGGAGGGGTGCTAATCTCTTAACTCTCATCCAGCACTGAACACCCCAGGCAGGGAAGATAGTGCACAATAGACGAGATACACTTTGGATTTAAAAGGACTTTACACCCAGAGCTTGTACAGTGGTTTACAGAGGTGGGTAACGCTTTTTATGGCAGGGGAAACTGAGGCACAGAACAGGGTAGGCACGTCCTCAGTATCCCCAGCAGGTGAGTGCTGCAGCTAGAAAGCCCCAAAGCCCGATCCAGCCGCTCCGGAGACCTGGAGGGCGAAGCTCACTGCAGTCAGGAGGCAGCGTGGGAACACGAGTGATAACATCTTCCCACCTCCCACGCTCTGGGATGCTCTGTGGAGGGCACATCCCCAGATAAGTCGCAGCTGCCCCAGGGCTGCTCTAACTCCCTGGTGCTACAGCTGACAGGCAGCTCCGCCAGCACTGCTGGCATGCGGAGCGCTCTTCCCCAGCTGCTCACCATGTGCTGCTCTTTGAAGGGGGGTCTCCCGAGTGTCCCTGGGCATCAGGGTCTGGATTCTGCTCCGAGATGGATGAAATGCAAGTAGCACATGGCAGTGGCGAGACAGCGAGGGGATTTTTTGAAGTCCTCTGGCAGTTTCAGCTCTCCTCGGGTGAGAACAGCCCCACCCTGCAGAGAGGGCCATGGCAAGGCTGTAGGCACCACTCGAGCTCCACTCCAGTCCTTGAAAACAGAGCTCAAGTGCAATTAAGTGGAGCCGTGGGGTGAATTCCAGCCAAGTAACACAGGGAAAG